GTTTCGATAACTGCAAAAATCAGAGATTAATTTTGCACAGTATCAATATTATAAACATGGCCCCATCCTAAAACGTTAAAAGAAAATCCGTATTTTTCTATTCTGATGAGTGTCACTGTCTAAGAAATGTCTAATGAATCCTAATCTACATTAATTATTCCCCAAATATTTTCCCTATTTTTTAGGAGTCGACCAATACTGAGCATGGGTCAACTTAAATGTACATACAAGATATAAGCCAACTCAAATAAATCAATGTTTCATTCTAAAGTATTTCCTTGTTCTATGTTGGCAGCGATTTCGGTAAGTTTTCCGTACAGCTTGTCTCGGGAAACATCTACATCTTTATTCATTTTCACGTCAGGTGTAATTATTGGCCATATTTCAATAGTACCAGTATATGATGAGGAATCGGTACGTTGTAGCCTTACAATTATAAGAAGGATTTTAATTATTTACATTATTCGGACTATTGTCCTCATTTTTGTCGCCATATTTATCACAACGTTTCGGCCGTTGTACGCTCCGGCCTTCTTCATGTCACTGGATCTAACCAACACCTTTATCCACTGTGCCATGTGTCCTATGGCACAGTGGATAAAGGTGTTGGTTAGATCCAGTGACAGGACCCAAAGAGTGTGAGTTCAATACCCGGTTAAGGCAGTGGAGAACTTTCAGAGGGAAATTAGCAGGAGATAACTGATAACTGACATCCATCAAACATGGCACGTGGAACTAGAACAGTCTACCCCATTGAGCGAAATAAAGGGTTCAGTTCGAAATTCCAACCACCTGAAGAAGGCCGGAGCGTACAACAGCCGAAACGTTGTGATAAATATGGCGACAAAAATGAGGACAATAGTCCGAATAATGTAAATAATGTACATAATACCTCATCTCAGAAATATAGACAGACTCTGAAGGATTTTAATGTAAAAGTTTTTACTGTATGATGGTCGTTCTATGCTGTTAATGGAGACGTATTGGTTTAGGTTCACTGAAGAAGAGATCGTTGAAAAACAATATTTGTTGAGAAAAATAAATACTGTAATAAAATGGGATTTTGCAGTTTTCTTCTTTATTTGTTTTGCAGTGCTGTCTTGCCATGGCTTTGACACTGGGGGTCAAATTAAAAGATTAACCGCCTGCAGTTAGATGCAGCAGTGGATTTCTGCTGATAGTAAATGTTGGATAACAGAGACATGGAAGATTGAGACTGGGATTATTTTGATTGGTTGGGGATCGTGTAGAATCACCAATCAGGAGGCAAGTAGAACTATACGTCGCTTTTGGTTTTCTCACAGGATGTCAAAATGCAGGGATGGCCAAACCGCGGCGCACGAGCCATATGCAGCTCATTGACCTCTAATATACGGCTTTTGGAAATATGTTGGCTGAGCTCCTTTTTTCATCATAGTTAATATAAAAAGTAAATAAGAACAATTTCAAGCTTTATAATTATTTACTGGGTATGAATTGAGACCCCATTAGATTAAAAGGTAAGTTTTAATGTGTATATGACAAAAACGTATGTGTAAATTTTGTTTAAGTCTGACGGCTCTCAAACATATGAACTTTATAGTATGTGGCTCATAGAGACAATACATATTTCGTTTCCTCTCGAGGGTACTTCATAGGCCCCAATAGACCGCATGTTACATGAAAATAATACAGCATACAAATACTAAGTTGGCAAATCTAACAAACCAAACCATTTATATATATATATATATATATATATATATATATATATATATATATATATATATAACTAAGAAAATCTTGATATATGCACTTCGATTTACCTCTTTTTATATCCTTCCTGTTTAGGTTTGTGTTATGGAGTGATTTCACAGTAGAGGCTTGTATTTGTACTAAGTCGGCCCTAAAATAGGTTCGACGTACAAAACGTTAGGAACTTGATATAATAGGTATAACGCAGAGTAATCTAGTTGTGGTCGCTGATACTTTAATATTCGACTAACTGTCGTCCGACCTCGACTGACCGAACTGACTCCCTGAGCGACTCACTCGTTACTCTTCCTACTCCTACTTATTATAGGTGGGAGAGTCTATTAACTATAGAATAGGTGTGTTCCACTATAACAGTTTGTTAAGGACACTTATACATAACATCAAAGAGACAGCTGAAATTTCTAGAACACATAATGAGGAAAGAGGGAGGGCTTGGAAAATTTGACACTCAAAGGACATATTGAAAGCTAGTGGAACAGTGAAAAACAACGCATAACCTACCTAAATAATGTGGGTAAATGAATGGCAGAACAGGAATTAAGACAGAAATGTGCTTCTATAGAAACATGCTTAGAATAATATTAAGCGAACATTTGAGCAAAAATGAAGTTTTAGAAAAAATACATTTATACTTAGAATCGGAAAGAGGCAGTTGACATTTCTAGGGCGCATAACGCAGAAAGGTTTGGAAAATCTGATACTCACAGTACAGAATTGAAGGCAAAAGGGACAGAGGAAACAATGCATAATCTACCTAGAGAGCTTGAGTAAATGAATAGCAGACCAGGATTTATGAGAAATAGCCAAAAGATAAAATTTACAAAGCGCTACAAAGGATAGGAAGTTATGGAGAGCCATGATCACCAGTGTCCTGAAAGGACGCGGATCATAGAAGAAGAAGGCAATAAAAAATTTATACTATTGTTCAGAAATACAAGGCCCAAGAAAATCTCAAGTTCGAGGGTTACTAAATGAGATAGTTGCAAGGGCGTAATGGATGGAGGTAAAACGTGCATAGAGTAAGGATATGTAGGATAGAAAACGGTTAACCTTAGAGCTGAATGGGAAAAGGGGGACAACCCAGACAGGTTTTCGGTGGACAGTCTTTCAATGGATCCTACTTTTACGGCTAATTAAAAAATACTAACAAGATTTTATGCTCGCCAATTCAAAAGTGGGTAAGAGACAAAATTCCTGAGAAACCCCGGTCATTAAATTGAGTTTAAAGGAAAAGAGTCTATCCATCTATCTCTTAAGGATTTGTGAGAAATCGTATTGCTACATTGTTTTGTAATTTAATTTCCATCTCTCTTTTGTCTCACATATATATCCACATCTCCCAGGAAATATCTCTAAAATAAACTGGTGACTCGGGAGATCACCACGGTGATACCACCGAAGAAATACTAAAGGAAGAAATAACGAAGCAACACCCAATATGAACGCTTACTTCGCCGTAAGGAAAAATATCGCAAAATCGTAGTAGAAATAGTAATTACTGTAAACTTACTTCACACGTTCAGACTTAAACTAATAATTCCTACTCTCATCCCTATTACCTGGAAACAGTTTTCCTAGCAAATAACCAATGAGAAACAGTACGAGGTGTGATGAGAAAAAGCACCCAGGAGTCACACCCACTGATAAGTAAAATAAACGGCAAAACTCAAAACGTTCTCTAGTGTCATGGTTTAATCATCAAGTTTGCCTTACCTCTGCTGAGATTGGGACAGCCTTAGTGTATATACAAGATATAAGCCAACACAAATAAATCAATGTTTTGTCCTAAAGTATTTCCCTATTCTATGTTGGTAGCGATTTGGGTCAGTTTTCCGGACAGCTTGTCTCGGGAAACATCTACATCTTTATTCATTTTCACGCTAGGTGAAATTATCGACCATATTTAAAAAGTGCCAGTATACGAAGGGGAATCAGTAATTTTGTAACCTTAGAGTTATAAGAAGGATTTTAATATAAAGGTTTTTTTTTACTGTATGACGATTTATCCGATTCGATTTCTGCTGAGAATGGGTCGGCATTAGTGTACACACAAGATATAAACCAACTCAAATAAATCAATGTTTCGCCCTAAAGTATTTCCCTGTCCTATGTTGGCATCTATTTAGACTGGTTTTCTGCTCAGCTTGTCACGGGAAACATCTACATGTTTGTAAATTTTCGCTTCAAGTGTAATTACCAAAATAAATGAAAAAACTACTTATTGATTTTCTCAAGTCAGAAATAGTTGAATCTTTTCTCATATATAAGATCCATCGATAAAAAAACAATGCTTGAAAAATAATCGGTTCCCTGTTCCACTGTAGTAAGTACTAGTCATGTCCTGATATGCTCTATCTTTGCAAGAACCAGATCAGGGCAAAATAGAGTACTGCTTCAATATCTGGTCTGGACATGCCCAGTCATCACTTTCCAGTCTACACGGCCTTCTGGGTGATGAATTATTTTCCACCTTACAACTCCTTTCTCACAGACGAAACGTCGAAAGCCTCTCTCTACTTTATAGCTATGTCCATGGCAAATGTTCTGAAGAACTACATTTCTTAGTTCTACCAGTCCAGACCTTCACAGATAGGACCCGTCATGGCACATACACCGGAGAGAACCATTCTAATTCCCTTCATATTACATTTGTCATATGCCCTACTCGACGAATAATTTATAATGCAATCATACGCCGACCAGGAGATATATACATTATCACATCTATGAGAGATACAGGCTATCTCTCTCAGATCATGACAATGGACAATTAGTAAACAAAAATATTTTAAAGAAAACTGTTCGATTGGGATAATCAAACAGTAATCTTTTCCCAGGTTCGCTTCGGTTTCAACACGAATACTGATCCACAATTCAAGGATGAACGATAAGGCGTAGTGAATTTTGATATAAGAACTTTAATATGTACATATATACAAAATATTAAAATAAAAGAAAATATAAGCATGAGTAAAACATCCGACGACCAGATCTCAAGACTTATGTTGGGGATATCAAAATTCGCCTAACTCCAAATGGATTCGTCTGAACCCGAACGGATAAAATTATAAGTATGAATAACTACGAATGCAGAAATCAACACATAAGCAAAAGAGATGGGATAGGAGTTACATATTATTATTTTGACATGTGGAAAGGTGTTTGTAAGAACATAATATTTATGGATGCATGTGTATCTTTCTAACACGGGTCCAAAATATATAGTTTCTTATCTTTATATTCAGTTCTCTCTTTTACTCATTGTTCTTTCTTTTCTCTCTCACGTTTCCTCTTTTCTTTCTTTCTTTTTCTTTACACAAGTCCAATTTCACACACGGTCCGGCTGTAACAGAGATATACACTTTCTTTCTCTCTCTGGTTTTCTCTTTTCTTTCTTTCTTCTTCTTTACATAATTCAGCTTCAAACACGGTTCGACTGCAACAGAGATATATACTTTCTTCTCTCTGGTTTTCTCTTTTCTTTCTTCAAACGCAGGCTGTATTCGCAGCGTACAAATTTCCTTGCGTCCTTTGTGATAAATAACTCGATTTATCTTCTTCAATTTGGAGTTAACGAACAGAAATACATATCCTCATATTTCTTATCCGGAGTTGCTTGGGATGAATCGGACAAGTTCCATCATTACCAAAATGAGTCTCATCTTTCCGTTCATAAGTTATCAGCGCTTCGATTTCGAGTCTTGCTCCTTCAAAGACAAGACAACTGACTTCCAAGTAATTTTCTAATTCCCACGTGTCCTGCGTTTTGGCGCGAATTCCAGTTCCTGATGCTTCGTGACCTTACGTCAGTCCCCTGTCTAGATTCTGTCTAGACGTCTGTTGCTACGGGTAATTGGGTCAGTCAACCTCTTGACTTGCTTTCCCAAAATGCCTCGAGACTCCCACGTGACCTATTCTGTTGTCAGGCGGAGATTAACCTTAATATATGCGTGTTTGGGCTATCTGCATTCGTCACACATTATTAAGGAGGAAGTTCTACTCGAACAGTTCCTTCTCAAGGGCTGCTACTTTGTGGAAAAAACTCCAGGGAGGATGCTTTCACCATCATAACAAATTTAACCTCTTCAAGTCTAGGGTTATTCGTTATCTTACCTGCATGCTCACCATAAACTTCTTATCTCCTGTGCTTAAGCTCATACAACATCATTCAGTAGCCCTCTACCTTGATTGTCTCTTAGGCATTATATTGGGTTTTAAAATGTAGTTAAAAATGTTCTCATCGATAACAGAGGTCAGTTTTCGAGCCCAAGTCAAACCGAATTGTTTTAAAAGACGTGGTTGTCATCAAAAGGAACAGCCAACGATGTGAACTACGAATTGGAGACACTAAAATGAAGCAAGTACAAAGACTTAAATATCCAGGACGTGCTTTAACAGAGGATGGAAAATGAGACACCGAAATCCGAAGGTGCTTGGAATAGCGAAAGATGCCTTCCAAAAGTTAAGCTAAGTATTAAGAAACGGGAAGATTTTCTTACAAAGGCAAGGGTACTAGACTGTTATGCAAAATTAGTCCTTCTATATGGTAGTGAATTCTGGACAATCTTCTCCTTGATGAAGACACTTCAGGCAACAAAAATCTGTTTTTACAGAAGGATGCTGAGAATACCATGAACTGAAGATATGAGAAATGAGAAATGAGAAAGATTTAGAGAAAGTGGAACGCAAAAAGTATACTTTTACTTAGAAACAGTAAGGAACAATTGAAATTTCTAAGGCACTTAATGAGGAAAGACGGCTTAGAAAATATGTCACTCACATGACATATTGAAGGTAAAAGGGACAGAGGAAAGCAGTGCATACCTTACTTAACAAGCGTGTGTAAATGGTTGACAGAACCGGGATATGGGGAGATAGAATTAAGAAAAAAAATTACTAGGAGCTACAAAGAATAGAAAATTGTGGAGAGCTATGATCACCCACATCATTAGCAGAAAGAAGAAGAAGAAGAAGAAGAAGAAGAAGAAGAAGAAGAATTATGATTTTTCGGCAGTGAAAGCTAAATGTCATTCTTTGACAGAGCCTTCAGATTTTAATTTTTAATGATTAGTGCCCAGTAAAAGAATTTACGAATGGAAAAGAGATACAGGCTCGATTCCTGTCGGGAGGCACATTTTTCTTTAGTAGGACTTCTCGATCTAGGCCGGTTCATATTAATTTCACTATTTAAGAAAAAAAAAAAAACAGGAATGGCAACTGAAACACGTGTCCCACTATACGTAACGCTTATAATAAGGAATAATGTTGCATTAAGCAAAATTACAAATAGAAATAACCACTGCTGATCTGATACAAAAAAAAAATAAATAAAACACCTCGACGCGGTGTAATGGTTAGAAAGCTTATCTCGTTAGAACAATTACGACTGTGTAGTGAATTTGATCCTCATTAGGTATCTCATACCTTCGGCCTTGTGCCACATCAAAGCTACGCTTAGAAGATCACCGTCTCATTTTAGCACCTCGACGTGGTGTCATGGTTAGCAAGCTTGTCCAACTAGAATAATTACCACTGAGTTGTGAGTTCGGTCCTCACTGGGTGCCCCACATTCCCGGGCTTGTACTACATCAAATCTACACTTAGAAAATCCCCATTTTGTTTTGGGCTCCTCAACGTTGTGTAATGGTTAGCAAACTTGTCTCGTTAGAACAATAACGACTGAGTAGTGAGTTCGATCCTCACTGAGAGTTTCATGCTTTTGGCCTTGTGCTACATTTAAGCTAAGCTTAGAAGATCGCGGTGTAATGGTTAGAAAGCTTATCTCGCTAGTAACAATTACGACTGAGTAGTGAGTTCGATATTCACTGGGTGCCTCACACTTTCAGCCTTGTGCCACATCTAAGTTACGCTTGGAAGATGAGCATCTCATTTGACTCAGAGCAGTGGTTAATAAATTTGCTTTTTTAGAAAATTACCGTTGAGTAGTGAGTTCGATCCATATTTTCGACTGTGTGCCACATCTGATCTAGAAAAGCTTAGAAAATCCCTATCTCATTTAGACACGTCGACGTAGTGCAATGGTTATCAAACTAGAGCAATTACGACTGATTTGTGTGTTCGGCCCTCACTAGGGCTTCCCTGTTTTCGGCCTTGTGCTATATCTAAGTTACGCTTGGAAAATCAGCATATACGATACAAAAATGAATTTAGCAGATATAGTTTCGTAGAAGTCCAACAAGACATGCGCATATTTTAAATAGATAAACTGAACGTTGCTTTATTTTCGTATTGTCACCTATGGTCTATTCGATAACGGAAACATATTGACTATCGGAGTTGTTTCTTTTAATGGAAAAAGATATAGAGTTTCAATTCCTGTCATTCAACACTTAGGAAGCTGTCTTACTTTACTTTTAAATGACAATACTTATACTTGCTTTTGTGAATTTGTCATTTTGTGTCTGTATCATTTGATATTCGATCTTCCATCTATCGGTCTGATACTCTACCGCTCAGCCATTCTTACAGCTGCATCGTCTCCCAAGATTCGGAGTCAACTATAAACAGGCCAGCCTGCAGCTGCCAAAGAAAGAACTGAAGAATGAACGTTGAAAATCAATTTAATAAAATATTGATTTTCTCTCACGTTATTCCATATTTAATGGTCGCTAACATTAATCAAAGATTCTTTACCATGATTCCGGGACTAGCGTGGGAGCCGATAAACTATTATTCGACCTAGATTGGAATTGCAAAGATAATGCTAACTAAGGAAACTGTTTTTGAAATTTAATCATGAAACTATAATCGGAAGTCTGTTGATACAATATTTTTTGCTTTTGTAAAGATATCATTCCATGGCGGCTTAGATTACTTCAATATTATTAATATTATCTTCAATTTTATTTCCATAGTTACTGATATCAAATTATAATTTTTATATATATATATATAAATGTGTGTGTGTGTGTGTATTTTCTATTTGGGCAGTAATCCGTCTTTTATACAAGTTTTTTTAAAGACGACCTACAAGTTACTTCGATTAAGCTTTTTATTTAATTTTTCTTGTGTTCGTACAAGTGTTTTCTTTTCTGGACACAAAATGCGTAAAAGCTGTCCAAAGGTTCTGCATATCCGAGCGCTTTCGGCTATACTTTTAGCCATTATCAAGGATGACTTTTGTTTTTTATTTTTAACTGAATGTGTGTTTTTTTTTATGTATTTGTTTATTGGAACGTTTTATTTTCCAAACATGGTCAGTATGTTGTGGCCGTGTTCGTAGTTAATGTTATTGAGTATTTCGTTTTTTATTATTAAAACTTCCATTATTTTTAATCTTTTATTAGTTGTGGACGAGGCTACTATATTTGCATTTTCTACTAGTATATTTCGGATGGAGTTTGATACGTTTTCGTGCGTGTTTAAATCATTCCTAATTGAGCTATATTCAAGTAGGTGTTACGTGAGTCGTCTAGATAGGCATGTAATAGTTTGGTTTTATCAGGAACACAGTACCTTAAGGGGGCATTTGAGCTCGTAAATGATATTGGTTCTCTGCAATTTTGATTTTGCAGGTGTGTTGCTATTTTGGGCAGGTTTAGACAGTTTTTACACATTTTGACTTCAGAAACAAAAAACACTTGTCCGAACGCACGAAAAATTAAATAGAACGCTTAATCACAGTACCTTGTCAGTTGTCTTCAACGAAACACACACACACACACACACACACACATATATATATATATATATATATATATATAAGCTTCAACACGTAGCAATCTAATAAAGATTTAAGCGTCAGCGTCTAATAAACATGCGAGACCTAATAAAGTAAAATGATTTTTCTGAAAACCCACATGTAAGTAAAACAATTTTAATTTTAATAATTCTCTGTAAATATACATGTATTATACATCTCTATCTATAAAAGACAGGATGTGTGTGTGTGTGTGTGTGTGTGTGTGTGTGTGTGTGTGTAACGAATGCACAGCCGCAATTTTCGACGGAGTTGCACCAAAATTTACATGCACATGCTCCAAGTTAGCAAAAAAGGCCAAGACCGACTTTGCATTTCCCAACTCCCATCGATAGTGGAAATAATCGATTTTTCATGCTTCTACGGCAGTTTTCATATAGTTCGCGGTCATTTTCTACTGGCCAGAGTGAGAGCCTATAGCTGGATGCCACGAATAGGCAGGAAGATTCTATTGGCCAGCGTGAGAGCCAACAGCTGACTGACACGAATGTTAACTAGCATGCTAGCATGCAAAAAAATCGATAGTTGCATTCGTCACAAGTGGGAAAAAATTAAATCTGCATGGCACTTTACACCAATTGACTCATTTGCTTGCTTAAAATCAAGGTTGATTCTGATTCTGCATAACTGGGTTGGGTGTGAAAAAGTATTTGTTGTTAACATTCTTTTTTCATTCGGTTTTTCCAGTTACGAGTCCTTTTTTAAAGCTGATCGTTTTGCGTTCATTTTGTTTAGTTCTTTTTTTCCTAACAGATTTAATATTTAGTATAGAGCTTAGAAAAAATTCGCAGTGTGAGATAGGCAAGAAGTAAGGCATGTAGCAACATCAGCATGGCAAAGGGCACTTCTTTAAAGGCAAGGAAGGGCAAAAATATTTTAAGTCAAGTGATAGCGATTGCTGTATGAGTCGTACGATTTTTGAATCAAGCATGGGCAACGCCGGGCCATGCTGCTAATATTACATATAAATATATGAAAACATTAGGTGTTTTCCATTTCTTATTATTCTCTCTCTCTCTCTCTCTTTCTCTCTCTCTAACTCACTCACTCTCACCATTTGCCCATGCTTAGAATGTTACTGACACATATGGCCCAACACTCCTACTATTTAACTAGAGCTCTTTGATAAAATCCAAAGAATCAGCAATATTATCGGTCCTGATCTGGCAGCTCGTCTTCAGTCACATTCCCACCGCCGCAAGGTTGCCTCTCTGTGTCTTTTATATAAATACTTCCATGGTAATTGTTCGGATGAGCTCTCCGCTACGGTAGCTAGATTTTATTGTTTTAAGCGCAGTTCTAGATTGGCATCGAGCTCTCATCAATTTACAGTTGAGCTAGCTAGATGTAACCGTAAGTTTTATGCTAACAGTTTCTTTTCTAGCACTTCTCGCTTGCAGAACTCCCTTCCGGCTCCCTGTTTTCTAGCCAACATCTCCAAAAATGTAAATGCAATGTCATTCTTCTTTTACTGTCCTTCTGATTACTAATTTGGTTCCCGCTCATTAGTAATATTTCTGTTTATAATTCTTCTACACCCAGTAACCCTTTGTGCCTTAGCGGCTTTACTGATTTGCATAAGTTGAATCTATTAAAAACAAAATATATTACTTCAACCGTTATTTTTAGTGGATACTCATATTAGAAATAGACGCCTTTTTTTAAAAAAAAAAAAAACAGCGTATATTACATATATCAATCTGCCCATTCAAGAAATTTGAATATAGAAAACGTACTCACCGGTAGCTTTTGAACTTGCGTCCTTTTTTGTAGGAAAAGGCAGTTTGATCTGGCGTGCCTTAGAAAACTTGGCCATAGAGTTCGAACTATCAATTAAGGTTCCATTTTCTGTGTCAAAGAAAGCACATTTCCTCGTTCAGCTTTTTCTCGAAAACCCATATCTGTTCACATATCCGCAATGTGCACAAAACAGTTTCGTAATGGATTTAATCCGATATTTTATTACTTCAAAATGTTTTTTTCTTCCATTTTAAACAATGTTTATTGCATCTATCGTCCTGTGCACTCAAGAAATGTTCATGAAAATTTGCTCTCCAGCAATGTTCGAACCATCTGCGTCCCTCTTTATAAGAGAAACAACCGTTTGATTCGACTTGCCTTAGACCGCTCGGCTACTGGGTGTGAACATCCCAGCAAAGTTCTATTTCCCTTTTAAGTGTTTAGTTTCGTATCCAAAACGTAAACCGATCAAACGGTAGTTTCCCCTATAAAGGGGGTCGCAAGTTCGCTCCTTGCCAGAAAGCACATTTTCTTCAATGAGATTTCTCGAGTGCGCTGGTCGATAGATGTAATATTTAAATTTTTGGACTTGATTCATTTTGGTAATCTCGAAGGTTTTAAATGACTCATAACTTCTGCATTACCTTATTTTCACTATCACGTTGTCTTCAGGTTTGTGTCTCCTCTTGTACTGTGTTCACGTAAATACGACTACTTGCATTACAGCCATGAATGACCACATAAAAATACATTGTTGAATACTTACAGCTTCTTAGCATGAATTAAGCAGATTGAGTTATTACTTAGATAGCTCATTTATTTTGTTCGCCATTGTATTTAAAGAGTGCACCTGGTATTTGAGAACACCTCCTCAGCGTTGTGCAATATCAGTGTTGAATGCGTGGTAGACTTATAAATATGTAAGATAGATTCTGGCGAGAAAAATTGCAGACCTAGCAATTGATTCGATATAATCATTCCACTTCGTGTCAGCAGAAAACGTTAGTCCGAAAAGGCGCAAGGATTCACTCTCCTGGGGGTTAGCATCAGCCATGCTAATGGAAAGTAAAAAGGTTTATCTCAGACGGTTTAAAGAGAGCAGTTACGTTTTGGGGGCGTTAAAATTAACAAGCCATTCCTTGCCCAGTTCTTTTGCTCGCCTCTGTATCTAAAGTGTGCACCAGCTATTCGAGAATACCTCCTCATCGTCGTGCCTTATCAGTGTTGGATGCATGGTAGACTTATAAATATGTAAGGTAGATTCTGGTGAGAAAAATTGTCTAGTACGACACAGGGAACCAAATTTCTTAGCAGCAGACCTGGCAGTTGATTTAGTATAAACTTTCCACTTCAAGTCAACGGAAAATTTTAGTCCGAGAAGATGCAGTGAGTCACTCTCCTGGGGGTTAGCATCAGCCATGCTAATGGAAAGTAAAAAAGGTTTATCTCAGACGATTTAAAGAGAGCAGTTACGTTTTGGAGGCGCTAAAATTAACAAGCCATTCCTTGTCCAGTTTTTTTGCTCGCCTCTGTATCTAAAGTGTGCACCAGGTATTTGAGAACACCTCCTCAGCGGGTCATAAATGGAAGACGACGTTGCATAATATTTCGTGACATATTCTACGCTGAATCTTAACACTGATGTTTCGCTTTCAAATATCTTGAGAGAAGTAAGGCGCCATATTCCAATTTGACATTAAAAGACACGCTGTGCTCGCAGCAACAGCAGCCAACTACAGGGACTCTTAGATAACTAGTGATTTGAAAGTGGTTAGTTCCTTCTCTAATAAAGCCCAGGAACCAGGGGAGGCAGAAACGGGTCGTCTGTGGCCAAGAGAAAGAAACATTGTGAGCAGTCAAACGTCGTCCAGCAGGTTCAAATGATCATCATTGACGTACCCAACTAGTCGATGAAAGTCGATAACTAGTAGTTCTATCTATCTAGATAGATAGATAGATAGTGAGATAGATAGATAGATAGATAGATAGATAGATAGATAGAGAGAGAGAGAGAGAGAGAGAGAGAGAGAGAGAGAGAGAGAGAGGTTCAAATCCAGCCGGAGTGTGCAATTTTTTCTTTAATACGTTTTCTAGAACATTCAGGCCGGCAGACGAAAATAAATAAATATAATGTTTAATAAATAAACGGAGCATCTACTCAGATACGAGTATCCAGTAAAAGCTAATGTTTAAAGTGATAAAAATATATTGGATCAATAAAAAAAAAGCCATTCTAAAATTATCTTTGTTTACGTTTGGATACGAAACTGTGCAGACATGAAAACTTCGAGATATTCTATAGCGGGAAGAATTTCGCTTGATGATTTTAAATTTGGACTTACCTGATCGACCTCTTTTCGTGGCCAATTTAGTTAAGGCTTACCACGCTTCGCGGTAGCGTGTTCTAACCTTCATCTCGCGGGACCAAATCCTACCAGAGTACATTTTTCTTTAATAGGATTTCTCGAACACTCAGACTGGTAGACAGAAAATAAATGTATTTTCTACTAGTATGTTTCGGATGGAGTCTGGTAAGTTTGTGTGTGTGTGTTTATATGAGTTCTAATAGAGCTGTAGTCAGATAGGTGTAACGTAAGGCGTCAGGATAGGCATGTAACTAATGTAATTATTTATGAATTCACTTTGATTAGGAACACAGTTCTTTAAGGGATATTTGAACTCATAAATAATGTTCGTTCGTTTTGATTTTGCTGGCGTGTTGTTATCTTTTAGGGTAAGGTTAGCTGTTTTAAATTTTTTGTAGTAGATAAGTTGATTTTTGTTGGGGTCAACTAGTAGAAAATACAAAGACAATATTCTCATCCACATGTAAAAAAAAATGAAAAATAATGGAAGGCTTAATAATAAAAAAGGAAAAAAACAACACTCAATAATATTAACTACGAACACGGTCACAATGTGCTAACCGTTTTCGGAAAATAAAACATCCGTATAACTATAGAAACATACATACAACCCACACACCCAATTAAAAAGCAAAAATAAAATCATCTTTGATAATGTCTAAAAGTATAGCCGAAAGCGCTCGGAATTACAGAAGATTTGGACAGTTTTTACGCACTGTGTCCAGAAAAGGAAATAATTGTTCGAATACAAGAAAAATTAAATAAAAAGTTTAATCGCTGTACCTTGTCTTCCGTCTTTAATGAAATATATATAAATGAAGGATTTCTGCCTAAATATATATATATATATATATATATATATATATATATATATATATATATATATATATATATATATATATATATATATAGATAGATAGATATAAAGTTGTTAACGCCTTATTCAGTGTCTCGATGAGTTCAGGTCTATATCTCTTGTACTGTGTTCACGCAAATATGACAACTTACATGACTGTCGTGAATGACCGCAGATACAACTCTTGGGAATTCATTGTTGAATAGTTACAGCTTCTTAGTAAAAATTAGGCATTAATTGATTTTCACCTTGGTCGCTCATTTCTTTCGCTCACTGCATTTTTCCGGGTAGCTACATTTTTTTTTTGCCTTATGCCTGAATCAAGTTAAGGATTCTTCATCAATCAAATTTCAATTTTCTTTTCATCTTATCATGATCCAATTCCAAATTTGACTCGTAGGATACAAAAGAGAACTGCAGACACGATTTCGTTTCGATTCTCTTACAAGTCCGCTTCTGGACTAAAACTGCATTATGACGCAACAGTTATCGATGCGGAAAACAGAATCGTCGAACTGAGTTCGAATTTTGACTGAAGCAGTTTATATTCACTTCCCATTAATATTTTTTGTAAATGAATGAATATACTTCTATCTGCTCCGTCGTATTGCTAGATATCTTTTTTAAAAAAGCCTCGACACTGACATGTCACAATGCTTTACGAAGAAAAAAGTGGGTGAAATAGCTCTTAGGTCAATCAAGTGAAAACTGTGACTCGCAGGCTACTTCCGGCCTGAATTACTACTACTACTACTACTACTACTACTACTAATACTAATAATAATAATAATAATAATAATACTTCTCAGTATTAATAATAATAATATTAATAGTTATAATATAATAATAATAAAATAATATAATAATATTATTAATAATAATAATACTTATCAGTAATAATAATGATGGGTACCTCTATCCCCCCCTACTTAATGTTCCACATTGTGTCCAATTCTCCGGTAGTCCAAGGTATGACGATAAACTACATCCGGCAGCAAGGCCTCTGATCGGGAGAATGGAGGTTTTGAGAAGCGTGGAACTATCTCTTAATTGCTGTTGTTCCCAGGTTCACCCCGAGCCGGGGTGGTAACACATGTTAGGGTCCCAGCTATGGATAAATAGTGAACCCCCAAACAAAAACAAAACACTATAAAAGTATATCAGCAATACATTATAATATAAATAAATTACCAACAATAAATATTTATAGTAGAATTACCAACAATACAATTTTTAAACAGAATTACCAAGAATATATTTTATAGCAGAATGACTAACAATACATTTTATCTGTAGTTGAAGCCATAAAACTGTTCAAAATATTTAGATTTCGGCATTAGATAACTCACAGAGGTTGATATGCCGCTAAACAAAATCAACCCATCAACCAATTCTCCGATGAAGTGAATATATTTTCTTCAACTCTTAAATTTCTTTCATTTTTACCCAGTGGTGACACCTAATGACTGATGTTTTCCTCTGTGTTTACAATGACTTTATTTGGTTTTCTTGCCATAATTAGACGGTCCGTTTGAATTTTAACGTCCCCTCCAGTTATCATATTACAGGTTGAATATCCTGTATCCGAAATTTCAAAATCCGAAAACCTTCAAAATCCAAATTCCTCAGCCCAGCGACCTAGCCTATGTTGGGGCCAGTATTTTATTTATTTTATTTTAATTTTTTTTTTTTTTTTTTTTTGTTAGCGATCGTCACAGCAACATCTTCGTTCGTGGATTGCTTACCAGGCATTTCGGGCACCGTAAAGATATTATTCAAAATATCAAAAAGTCCTGTTTATATATTTTTGTAAGTAATGATCATATTTTTGTATACGTACAGAAAGTACAAAAAATTATTTTTACGTGAACTTTCAATTTCACTATTTAAAAATTAGTGCGAGCATTACATGACTGGCGCCATTATCTGTATCAGTATGTAAAAAAGATTTTGTTAAATTTCATATAAAACTACTTTCAGTATATGTTATTTATATAAAACTACCTTTAGAGTATATGTATAGGCTGTGTTATGTAAAGGGATATCGTGTTTATGCTTGGGTTCCATTCCCAAGCTGTCCCATTTTATAGATGCTATATAGAAATTAAATAGCCTGTATTCCAAAATCCGAAAAAAAAATGAAAACCGAAGCATTTCTGATCTCAAGAAACTCGGATAAAAGATTCTCACGGCGTCTTCAGCGTTGTGCTACTAATGGACTGCATTGTTAATCCCCAGTTATTATTTGAATAATTATTTTGCTATTGTTGCGGGATATACACAGAGTGAAATATATCAGAAGGAAAAATTAAGTAAGATGAAGGTTATGCGTGCTTATAGTGTCCGTGTCACACAAAATATTGGCTATACAAACAATTTAAGAACAAATTGCATGGCAAGAAACTACCAAATACTGTTATTAAAGATTTAACATTAAAGAAATTTTTATATCAACAATAAAATATTCATGTAACGACAATTACAATGTTTGTTGTTGTGATAATTAAGACAATGTCATAAGGAATGTTTGTGCAGGAATGTTGTTGAGAAATGTTGGTACTTTTTGATTGTTAAGAAATTTAATTTTTCTGCAAGGAAAAAGAAATTGTGTGTTCGTTCATTTATCAGTATGGGTACGTGTGTAATTTACAAGTCAGAATAAATGTTATCAAGAGTTGCTTGCCTTTGACTGTTAGGCTAAGTTGGTGAAATATACAATAACTTTTTAGTAGTGAAATTGTTTCACTTTTCAAATCAACTGTAGATGTTGGTTAACACGCGGACAATGGTTAATGAATGTTTGTTGAGATTTCAATGTGGTGTGTGTGTCAGTGAATTGTCACGCGTGGAGTTTAGTAGCATCTCGTTGAACTCCGGTGGCTGACAATATTTATTACTGTGAAAATACAGCAAATGTGGCACAAGGCCGAAAAAGGGGGTGGGGAAAAGGACGGTCATCATTTGTCTTAATTTTAAAACTTAGCTAGCCACAACCACTGACCCAATCATACAAAACAATATTCCTACCACTAAAACAACACATTCATACTTACCTTTCTTATTACATCCACCAAAATACCTCATTGTCTCAATGAAAATCTCCTAAATAATCCCCATATGTACAAATCGTTGTCTGTGAGGGGAGGAGAATAAAAAACAACAAGTTAAAACACCCCAATGATTATATACAATATGGTTATAAACTATTTACAAGAAACTAAACAAAATCATGTTAGTAATAAAAAAACACAAACCTTAAATGTGGCAGAAATATCAGTTAACTGGACGAAATCGATGCGGGACTATAAGAATATAGAAAACATTCATACATCCCAAGCACTCACACAGACATGCACTCATTCTGACACAACAACAAATACGAAAAATACACACGCGAAAGGGATGGGTTGCCCAAGTTCAATCCAGGAAAACAATATCCTGATGCCTAACCGGCATCAAAATACCACTCCAGGTCAGCCCCTTTTACTCGGCACAAACGCGCAAGATTCACCCACCTTTTGCCAAATTCTGATGAGGTGAGCCGCCGCCTTTCCGTCCTAATGCTTAAAGAACAAGATCAGTTGGGAAGAAGTAAACTTCTCGCCATCATAGAATTCCTTCTGCCGCGTCGTCCAAATCACGACTCTCATAACAACTAGTAAGCAACAGAACACATAATGTTCAGCCACATTACTACAAAGAGAACTGGCCTCAAGGACAAAGAACTTTCCTTGCAGCAGGCAGACCATGAGGCCTTCAACAAACTTGCACAACGGCGCTACCACCCTGCAATGAAAGAAGGCATGACCAATGGTCTCGACTTCCCTAATACAGAGACGGCAGTTTGGAGATTTCTCCAAGCCCGCTGAACAAAGTCTTTTGGCGACCCAGAGGGCCCCACCAATCACCAGGCACGTGAGTGATACCTCATCGTCATTGAGGCATTTCAACCCAAGCGCCCAAGGCCATATTGAGCGAGAATCCTGCTTCGTAATACCGAGCTCGTCAATCAGATCATCACGAACGGACCCCCTGACTAATAGTTGATACAATGCCCTACGAGACAACGTCTGGGAGTTGGAGAGGCCATCTGATGCCCATAAGAGGCGTTTCAGAGCAATACGACATTCACGATAGAAGGAGCATTCGGCTCGGGGTAAACGGCTGGCCTCCTCGCACGAGTGCACACTTCTCAGGGATGGGAAGTTTCCTTCCAGAAGACGCCCTCATTATCCGATTCGCGACACATTCGGTCTAGGAAGGCTATGCGAAGCATATATTGACAAATCTCAATGCTAGGCATGCCCAGACCGCTCTCAGAGGGATGAAGGCAACATATCTCCCGAGATACCATAGCAGCCTTGTCTCTCCACAAGAAAGAGAACAAGAGCCTTACTAATAATGTTAGTCTGGTATACGGGAGTGGAAGTACAGAGAGTCGGTAAAGGAGAATCGGGTAGATATGTGAAACACATACTTCCGCCCTCCCCTTCAAGGAAAGCTTCCTCCGAGACCACAGAATAACCACGATCTCGGCCTTCCCTTGTGCCTCCGACCAATTCATTTCCAACTGGAGATCAGGACCGAACCAGACGCCGAGTATCTTGACCGGCCCAACCGCAAGCCAACAGACTTATCGTGGTTGATCTTGGCCCCTGTCACCATCTCATAACCAATATCTTTGCTAACTTCGTCAATCTCGGCTCTGCTCGACACAAGAACCGAAATGTCATCAGCATACGCAGAATACCTGGCTGGGGTGGTAGCCACGGGCATGGAAATTCCGCGCAGGACCGGATTCGCCTTTAACTTGCGAAGGAAAGGTTCCAACGCAAGAACGTAAAGCAAAGGCGAAAGCGGACAACCTTGACGAATGGAGCGAGACAATACGAAAGGTCCGATCTTATCCCATTCACTTCCACCAGCACACCAGGAGTCGCACACAAAAGACGGGTCCAGAAATGAAAGTCGGCTCCGAAACCGGCCGCCGAAAGGACAGCCATCAGAAAACGATGGTCTACATTATCGAAGGCCTTGGACTGATCTAAATTGATCAGCACGACTTCACTGTCGGCTTGTTATAAGATCAAGCGTACCATATGAAGGTTGTTCTGAATAGTCCTGCCCTTCACAGCACAAGTCTATTCGGAGCCAGTCAGACTAGACAGGACAAGCTGCAAACGGTTGGCTAAGGTCTTTGCCAAAATCTTTAACTCTGTGTTTAACATGGTTAAAGGGCAAAAGTTATCTAACCCATCCCCACCGTTCTTGTCCTTACGCAGCAACTTGATCACACCCCTGGTGAAGCGTTGAGGTATAGACCCCTGCTTCACCCAGTTCTTGAAAATCAGTTCCAGCAAAGGAACAAAAACGGGCGACTGCCTCAAGCAAACTTCGTAGTGAAGACTATCTAGTCCCGGAGATTTATCCAGGCCAAATTGTTTCAGCGTTTCCCAGATTTCCGACTCTGTGATGGGATCCTCGCACCCAACCGCTTCAGCTGCCTCGAGACAGGGAAAGTCGGCTAAATAGGCGTCGAACTGAGCAGGGCTCAAACCGGGCTCCCAGGTGAAAAGATCTTGAAAGTAATCCCGAAAGGCCTGGTATATGCCCGCGTTTGTAGTCACGGTCCGCTTATCCGGCAACGTGACGCAGGCGATATGTCGCTGAGACGCGCTCCGATTTTCCTCTGCACGCAATTCAGCGGCCATATTCGTCGCTTCAGTGAACATTCTTTTTAAGTTAGCCCTAACTACAAGAGCTTGATCCTTCTTGATAAGCAAGAAGGCTATTTCCCCACTTTCACGGGATTTCACTTTTCACTACCCGATCAACTTTTTGTTCTAAAGCCGTTTGCGCCGCTGATCTATCTAGATTGAGTCGACGACTAAAATCGGCAGCAAACGTTCTAATTTTTGGATTTTAATTTATCCCACCAGGAGTTCCCTACACCCTCCCCCGTCATTTCTCTCTGTATCATTAGTAGCAGCTGGTCCCGGAAATCCTGCTCACCAAATGATGAACAGTTTAATTTCCAGTAACCAGCCAACCTAATCTTGGGCTTATCTAAGTTTACACGGACCCGGACAAGCCTATGATCCGAATAAACTATATAATGGAAGTTTGGACACCCTAACAGCCCTACATCGACTCTCCTAACTAAGACTCGGTCGAGGTAGCTAGCAGGCGTCCCAGGAGCCGAGTTGCCACTATTTATCCAAGTCTATGCGACCTCCCGAGGGTGCTCATTACGGTACTTATCGACATGATCAAACTCGCTGATAAAGTCCCGAAATGGTTTCACATTCCGGTTGTTAGTACCCAGATTTTGCCCTATACGATCTATATCGTAGTCAAGGACAGCATTCCAATCCCCCGCTAAAAGTATCCGACGAGATGTCATCAAGAACGGCTCGATCTGCCGAAACAAAGCAGGCCGCTCAGAATGGTTATTGGGCGCATAAACCCCAGTGAGACGCAGAGCCTTATCCTTTATGGTAACATCCAGCACGCAAAGCCTGATCGCCGGATCCGCGAAGACAAGAGTACATGCATCCTTCAAAGACCTGCTCACCATCCAAGAGATACCCCTCGAACGACCATCAAAACATGCTGAATAAAGGGAGAACCCCTTAGACAGTATGTCCTCACGGCCATGAGAATAAAACCGGGTCTCCTGCACACAACAAACATTCACCCCGAGACGTTGAAGGTCGCGAGACTCCGACCTCAGGCCTCGGACATTTACACTTGCTAACCAGAGAGTCATAATGAAGACCGATTAGTGTTGCTTTCCTGAATTGAACATGGTTGGGGTAAGGATAACGACAGCCTCCCCCATAGACTCATGGCCCATCTCAGTCTTGATTGAACCGTCTTCGGAGATTCCGCCGATATCCCAGTGGAATGTCAATTTTAGTGTTCTATAGAGGGAGGGTTGAACAAAAATTGAGACCCTCCCAGCACAAAATTGTTACATTTTTCTCAATTTCTCGTTCTGGACGATAGCAATGGGCGGGGTCATTTTGAATGAAGCTATAGCTTCGTCTAACATTGACCAAACTTGTTTTGCACCTGTCTCAGTTCTGATTACTGTTAGTACACTTTGTACGTTTGGGAAATTATTAGGTTCTTCAATGTCTTTGTCTCCGAATTGTTTTACGGATAACAGGTATTTTAAATTTTTAATCCTGTTTCCATAATCTCTGGCTTTCTCAACTTGAATGGGAGAGATCTTACAAATACCTAAACCGGGATTGTAAATGAGTTTTTTGGGTTTTTTTTTTTTTTTTTTTTTTTTTTTTTGCTTCCAGTTGCATCATGTGTGGGGCTTCTGTGCTTTTTATTTACTGCAGGGGGCATTTCCAAGGATTTAATGGGAGAAAGACTGGGGGTGTGGCGAGGTGTATATGTTTGTCTAAAAGGGCTGGGGTCTCAACTGAGAGGGATTGGGGATTGGGCAAAAGAAGTGAAAGGAGAGACAGGTGAAGACTTCTCTCTACAAAGAGTGATTGAGGGAGGGGGAGAAAGTGGTGGGTCGGAGAATGTGGAGAAAGTGCCCTTATTTGGAGAGAAGAACTTTTGCTGACGGGATGTAGAGGGCTGAGGAGACTGTGCAGTGGATTTGGGAGGAAGAGTTTTCTTGGATGGAGAGGATTTTGTTTTCCTTTGCTGGTCTAGCTTTAGCTTGAGGTCTTTAATTTTTTCGGTTTTTTCATACCCTGGGTCGTATGTTTTTGTAAATCCTGCAAATTCGGTATTGAGGCCAGGGCGTCGCCCTTACTGTTGTCAGAGGGAGTGGGGCTGTGTATGCCTTTAGTCCTAGGGGCTTCAGGGGACTGAGGACCCGCTGTCTGACGCTTCCCTCTGGCCCTACCAACCACCTGCCATTACCCCTCTCCCTTCTCCCTTCTCCTCAACTGCACTTGCAGTGGAAGAAAGCTCTTCGGGGAATGGGGGCTTTGGTGATGGCCCAACCGGGTTTTTGACCACTCCGGTCCCGATAGCCGGCATGCCCATTACAGGCGAGGCGGTTTTTAAAGACTCGGTCAGAGGGGGAGTTTGGTCGACTGGGGCCTGACTTCCAGAGGCCTTCTTCTCTGGACAGGAAGAGGAGAGGTGACCAGTCTCTCCGCACTTCCAACAAACTGGTTTACGGCCGGTCACGATGACCGACAGCTTCAGGCCACCAACGTCAAGACAGTTGGGGATGGAGACGAAGGCCTTACGATCTAGCATAATGTCGAAACTCCATCCCCTAGTCAGGCTATCAAAGATAGCACCCATAATCTCGCCGTACTGGTACAAGAAAGCCGCCAGGTGCTCCTTGAAACCCAAGGAGGGACCTCTGTACGGAGAATTAAATCCTTTGTGATTAAATCTCTGCTTGTGAGTTTTATGCAGTCTTCGGCAGTGGGTGACAGCACGTCCCACATGAAAAAGCCCTTGCCCTTAACGATTCGAAGCGGCTTAAACCCAAGGGTCTCCAGTGTTTTCACCACTGTGTCTTTCGTCGAACGACAAATTTTGAGCGAACGCTTGTCGACGACGAAAACGGACACTATTCTTTTGTCGATTTTCTTAAGTTCAGTTGGATCCTCCAAAAGCCCACCTTCTACCACAAGGTGTGCGTAACTCTTGGCACGCTCCAAGAACTACACAATATCGATAATGCATTTAGGATGGGACTTCCAACAAGAGGGCAATTCCCCGGCCTCTGCATTATCACTTGAGTTGCCTTTTAATTGGTCATTACTGGCATCTACGTTGTTGCTCTTTTCGGTCTCTGTAGATTTAGAAGCTTTTTTTAGAACCTCTATGATTTCCTCATTTGTAGGAATACTAGCTAAGGCTGGATACTCCTCAACGTTATCCTTATCAAGCGAATCTTTTTTCGGGTTAAAAAGATGCTTCCTCACCGATCTTCTGAAGCTACATTTTAGGCTTCTTTTTTAAAACTAAGAAAGAAGATACTTTTTTTCCTTCTTTTCTATTTTTAAAGGGAAGTGGGGGTGAGGAGAGGAAAAATAGTTAATAAATTCTGCCTTATAGGCGAAAAAAATCTATGGTTCTATCGGAATTTGGTAGAAAGCTTTTTTTAAATCCAACTTAGTAAATATAGTAGTGCCTTCTAGTGACAGGGCAAAATCCTTGATATGGGGAATAGGGTATTTGTCAGGCACAGTTTGGGCATATAAAATCCGATAATCCCCGCAAGGACGCCAGATGCCAGTATCACTTTTAGGAACCATGTGGAGTGGTGTAGCGTAAGGACTTGAGAATGGCCGAATTATGCCTAACGTAAGCATATTTTCAAATTCGTCCTTAGCTACCCGTAATTTTGTCGGATGCAAATGACAAGGCGGTGTATGAACTGGGGGTCCAGTCGTCTTAATAGAATGAGTAGCGTTGTGTTTGATGGGTTCCGCATAATTAAAGGGTGACAAGAGTAACTTGTATTGACAGAGTAAGTTTTCGTATCCGTTTGCTTTTGGTATTAGTGCGGTCATGCTAATTGTTGAATGTTTCGACGGTGTTCCACGGCGCTATAGCTTCGTGCATGTGTCGGTAATGTGCGTGAGGAAAGTTCAACAGAAAAGATGAAATAAGCCAATAAATCTGCCCCGAGGATTGGTGTCTCAACATCGTCTATTGTGAAGGGCCAGGTAAACTCCCTCCTTAGGCCAATGTTGAGGGACAACATACGTTCGCCGTATGTGCTGATTGGCGTGATATTGGCGACTTGTAGTTTAAGTAAAGCTTCCTTTGGTTTGGTCGTTGACTTGTCATAGCTGCTCAGTTGTATGACGCTGATCTGCGCGCCTGTGTCGACCAGGAATCTGAGGTTGCTATTGCGATATTTGATGTAAAAGAGGTGATTTTTATCATCAACCCTGGCAGCTAAAGCCCTTAATGGGTGCTAAGTTGGTCGTTTCCCTGTTGCTTAGCCGAGGGTGTGCTATGGTACGAACATGGCGGTTGGCATTTTTTGGCGCGCGCGCCAAACTCCTCATGGTACCAGCAGACATTACGTGGATGGTGTCGGTGGCGCCGCGACATAGAACGTCGGCGTTGAACGCTGTACCGATTCACAGAGGTGCTACGGCTTCTGCTTTGTGTATTCTGAATTTCATTTAAGCGCAGGAATAGTTAATTCACCTCGCAGGCTAAAGCTTGTAACTGCTGGTTAATATCTGGGGTTAGATCATTCAACAGCACGATTGAGGCGATTCGATGTGCAGGGCAGGTATCTGAGATTTGTGTCAGCTATTGCCGTTAACTTCTGAATATCCATATCGTCTGTCAACGCTGCTAAAATTTGTACTGTGTCTGGACTTTCAGAACGGCTTTGGACATTGAGTTGGCGCCAAGCAGGGTTTGCATCCTGCGAGAAACTGGGAAGGTTTACTACATCCGAGGGTGACGTTGGTCAGGAGTTCTCTAATCTTTCGTTCCTCTGAACAAGCCGTCCTCTGCAGTACTGCCTGCTTTACTACCTCATATCGTTTGTCTGACGGAGGGTCATTGAGAATGTCTGCTACCTCCGATGCCACGTCGGCAAGTAGCTTCTCGACGACGTACGCAAATTTTGACTGTTGCAAGGTAATGTGTCTTGCTTGAAAGATGGCACCTAATTGAATGAACGACGTCTGTACATTGGTATTGTAAGTCGGAAGGTCTACTTTGAGTGTAGCTTGGATTGGTGGTGCGGAGTCGGCCATGTTAATATTAGTTCCTTTTAGGGGGTAAAAAATTGAAGTTGGCGCCTTTTACAACGGTTAAGCATCTGCGGGTACTGGGATGAATAATGGATATCGTCAGCGTTGCCAAATTTGTTGTGAACGTCGCTGTTAATAATTTATAATGAAGAAATTGTAGTGACATTTGAAACAGAGTTGCCAATTTGTCATGGACGTCGAGTCATTAACTTGTAATGTGCCGGTTTTTATCTAACGTCGGTGTTACCAATTTTGTTGCGGGATATACACAGAGTGAAATATATCAGAAGGAAAAATTAAGTAAGATGAAGGTTATGCGTGCTTATACTGTCCGTGTCACACAAAATATTGGTTATACAAACAATTTAAGAACAAATTGCATGGCAAGAAACTACCAAATACTGTTATTAAAGATTTAACATTGAATAAATTTTTATATCAGCAATAAAATATTCATGTAACGACAATTACAATGTTTGTTGTTGTGATGATTAAGACAATGTCATAAGGAATGTTTGTGCAGGAATGTTGTTAAGAAATGTTGGTACTTTTTGATTGTTAAGAAATTTAAAATGATTTGGTTTCTCCAAGGAAAAAGAAATTATGTGTTCGTTCATTTATCAGTGTGTGTACGTGTGTAATTTACAAGTAAGAATAAATGTTATCAAGAGTTGCTTGCCTTTGTCTATGTAGGCTAAGTTGGTGAAATATACAATTACTTTTTAGTAGTGAAATTGTTTCACTTTTCAAGTCAACTGTAGATGTTGGTTAACACGCGGACAATGGTTGATGAATGTTTTGTTGAGTTGAGATTTCAATGTAGTGTGTGAGTCAGTGAATTGTCACGCGTGGAGTTTAGTAGCATCTCGTTAAACTCCGGTGGCTGACTGTCTGAATTGAATCAACTGCGGTTAATTTATAGATTTTTTGTGCAGCGAAATCGGCTCAAAAGTGCTTGAAGGGAAATAGGATTCGTTTTAGAATTGTGTACACTTTGGTGTTTATTAACCAATAAAAAGATTGGATTTGCCATAACGAGATGATGATTGGTTAAAGGCTTTTCAGAGACGAATACATTTTTCTGAAGGGGGTTAAAGGCTAATGTGGAAGATCTCACACTATATTTCATGTGTTTGCACATTAACACTAGAAAATGTAAATGATAATTGACTACCATTTATATAAATACGTCTTAAGATAATTGAAGCCCTTTAAAACGGTTTAAGCCAAGGTTCAACTTTACCCTATTTGAGAACAAAAAGAGTGTGTTGGCGGCCTTTTCAAGACACACTCAATATGAAATTACTACTCCGATTCAATTACAACTTTTGCACAATACAAATTAAAGCATAAACACAGAGAAATATACTAACAACGACTATCTTGAATTAAATTAAATTGCTTCGGACAATAATCACGTCTGACAGTTTGTACACTATCTTCGTTCTCGTAGAACAAAAAGATTAGAAAAACTAAATAAAAATTTAAAAAATTGTCCTTGTTTGTTACATTCAATGAAATAACGATTAAAAAGATTTTACGCACACACACACACGGCTTACGGTTATATCACGACGTAACACCGGTTCTCGTACGATCACCAAAGTTAGGCAACGTCGAGAGCTTGGTCAGTGCCTAGATAGGTGACCGCTCGGAAATACTAAGTGTTGTAAGCTTGGATGTGCAGTTGGTATAATTGATAATGATTCAAAATTGGAAATCGGAGAGCTGAGTTCTAATTTCAGGCGGGTTCGATATATTCACTTACGCGCAAATACCATTGCGAAATGCATATGAATCCACCAATTCTCATGCCAGCTATGGGTTAATTAATAGGACTTCTATCAATAAATCATTATTATGGCACGAAAAATTTTTACAATCAAATATATTTTCTGCCTTTAAATTTTAGCTTCCCGATACCACTTTCTTATCATTGCTAAATTTTGTACAAATCTGTGCAAAAAGTGGATCAAAGAGCTTACCCAGCTTTATACATATTTTCAGGAAATCTCAACTACTAATTGGTCAATAAACACACAAGTGGGCGTTGTAATCCACCCATGTACAAGTCTCTTTCCAGCGCATGACCAAGTCAAGCTTTCCCGCTCTTTTTCCAGGAGCCTACCACGTATTTGAATTAATTATAAACACCAGACACGAGTTCGTTTTCTCTCTCTTTCTTGATTTCATTCGCCTACGAAAATGTAACCTTAAAGAAAACTGCGTTGCGACCCCATTGCGGTCGAACGCTGAAAACATATTCACACATGCACGTACGTACGAAGCATTTCCAAACCAGCAATAAGAACTTTTCTCTTTAAGATACTCTTGTAGCGACTGTTATGTTTTTCCACGCCCACATTTTATTCGTCTGCGATTGGCTAATAAATAATAAATGCCTTTCTATAAGACAATTTAGCCATCGCAGTCGTTGGTTTGAATTTTTCGGTTTTGATCTGGCTTACTTGTTTCGTTAGTACAAATTAAGCCATTGGTCAAATTTTAACCAATCATATTTTAGTGCAAAATCAACTTTTCCGTGGTTTCGATGGGAGCTTATCTGCAGCTTTAAAAGAGGCGACTTTTTCACAAGCCGCCAGTAGAGTCCACTAAATTTCGCCTGTCAACACAAACCTATGACTTTACTCACAATTCAAATGCACACACAGACACAGAATTTTGTAATACATATATACATATCTCTCTGTGACTCAGCCAAGTTCAATCAACCAGGACTCTGTTGATTTCTCTAACACAACACACTTTCTGATCAATTGTATTCTTTTGTTATCTATTCTAACAGCAGACTTGTTCTAACGTTGATTCCTGAACATTTCTCTCTAAAGTGAACTTTCTTTCGAATTCTTTCGAACAATCAATTACAAATCAAAATACGGTAAAAGGGGAGCAACTTCTTTTCCCTTAATCTATACATTGTACACAGTATTGTTGTATATTTTGTTCTTGTATGTTATTTCACATTTGGAGTTTCATTGTCTGTCTATATTTCTGAGATGAGGTATTATGTACAGTATTGTACAATACTGTACAAACATTGTACAGTATTGTACAAACATGGCACGTGGAACTAGAACAATCTACCCCAGTGATCGAAATAAAGGGTTCAGTTCGAAATTCCAACCACCTGAAGAAGGCCGGGGCGTACAACGGCCGAAACGTTGTGACAAATATGGCGACAAAGATGAGGACAATAGTCCGACTAATGTAAATACTGTGGAGTTTCATTGTTTTCTTGAATCATTAATAATACAAAAGATATATGCGCTAAAGAACACGCGCCCATAACACTCTGATCAAGCTTTCGCACAAATCTTTAGAAAACAAAATTATAATATTCTGCATATAAAAATATATATTTGTTGTTCCAAACGTATTCTTTTTGTTGTAATTATATCGTTATCATTTGATTTTTTACTTAAATTTATATTTGTGGATGTTGCATATTTCATTTACAGCGAAACATTTAAAATATTCACGCAGCCTTTTTAGATCCGCAACAAAATAACTTGCAAAACGTTGATAGGCCTAAAACATATATATATATATATATATATATATATATATATATATATATATATATATATATAATGTATGCATGTTTTGCTTTTGTCTTTATTGTAGCAGGAACTACTGCTGATCGTGGTTGGCCTTGTTTTAGTGGTCGAGTGTAGGAGTTTACTGTTAATCCCTTTTGGGGAAAAGGGAAGGAGATGCTCCGGTAGGCAGCAGGTGAGAGAAAATAAAAAGGCTCACTGAAATTTCGCATACCTAAAGCGGAGAATAAAACAAAATCGACAAACGAATTTCAAAACAAATTATTTAGTTAATGACAATATGATGACAATTATTAAGTGAAAGAGAAAAGGCGTAATAATAGTGCTGCTTGGATAGTTTTTAACTTTTTCGGATTTCCAAATCCTCCAACCTTTTGGTTAGGCGTTTCAGGATCGTTCCCAGCGCTCCAAAACGGTTGGCACAGTGATTAATTTCATGTTCCATCTTCTATTCCTTAGTGTGGTCCAACTGGATTTGCTTTTTTTATTTTCATTTTATTTAACTCCTTCCCTACTACATACGGACATGCAATTACAATCCGTTTTACTTTTAACACTTATTAAGAACTAAGACTAAGAAACACAAACATGTATCCAGGACGCCGAGAATATGTCCCTAGAGCAGCGTTTCTCTATTGAAAAGTTCAGGCCATACCCTGATGTTACCGCCTTCATTTTGCAAGTAGTTCTTTAACAAAAGTTTTTCAGAAACTTACGCATGGCGCCTCATATCATGAGATAAGGTTACAGTGGTTTCTGACCTTAAATAACCGGCCTTGTGTTGCCTTTTGTTTTCGTTGAGTGAGAAATAAATTTTAAATTAATTTTCTTATACTCAAAGGGGAATAAACAGAGTTTTCTCTTATAGAAGAAATTCAAGGGAAGCAACAAGTGACAGTGTGTCCTTAACGACGATTGGTAACGTTATCCCATAATAGTTAAGTTGCTATGTGGATCACCGCTATGGTGACAATCAAGCGCGAATCATAATAGAAACAAACTTTGGTGAAACTTCTAGTAAGCTAAGCACCACCTAGGTCGTAAATTATCAACCTTCTTGAAATTCTATTTAAACCGACAGAACTGTAGCGGCAACATGTACGTCATTTTTTCTCTTCGCACTTCTTTTGTTTTCTTTCTGCTATTTTTTTTAGTTATTTTCAAAATTGTTCATATTGTGACAGAACTGTTTGTTGGGTTACAAAATAAATAAACTTTTTATTTTAAAATTATATCTTCTCTTCTGTGGATATGCAAACGGCAAACAGATCCAAATGACAGAAATTTAAGTAGAGATGTTTTAAATCATTTTTTTTTTTTTTTGTAACGTTTTACTGCTTTGTTTATATTTTTTTTACTTGTTGCAAGTACAGAAATTTAAATTAAAATAAAAAAAGTTTTTTTTCTTTTTTGTAAAATTTGCTAAAGAAAATGAAAAATATATGATGGAAAAAGAGTAAAAGACAGAATTGTTTTAGTTTTAAAATTATGAATTTTTTACTTGTTTTATTTTTTCCTAACTAAACTTGAACAAATTGTCTTTCAAATTTACTTCGTTACGCTTTAAAAAATGTAAGTTACTACATTTTTTTTTAGTATTGTAACTAACTCTGAAAGCCTTTTTTACTCGAGCAGAAAATTATAAGTTTTTTTTTATTGGCCTTTGTTGACGTTTACGGTTTTTTCATTTTTTTCTTTTTTAAAGCCACATAACTTTCCTTTTTCCATTTTTAACCGATTATAAAAATTGTCGGGTTTTTTTTTCAATTTACAAACATAATTTTTGCAAATTTTGTTTGCGACAGTGAATAGCAAAATAAATAAATTATTAAACTGTTTATTTATGTTTCAGTTCAATTTTTAGTCTAAACAGGTCTTTTGGGATATTAAATCGAAAAATTTACACAGGCCCCATGACTTCCACCAAGAAGTCTGTTAAAAAAAGAAAAGAAAAGTAAAACTAAAAAAACTGAGGAAAATTTTATCTTCCTGTTTTTATATATTGAGGATCATAAAATTTAATCGCAATATTCATTGTCTTAGGAAATTATGAAAGCTTTTGTTTGAACCTCTTTTTCCTGATAAAGTGAAACTAAAGTGTCTTTTTTACATTGTTGTGAATACAGGGAGTTTTTTTGAAAATTACTTTTTTTACATTTTCTATAAGCATTTTGGCGAACTCCAATAACTAATCTATATTTTTGAATTGTAGTATATTTTATCCTAATATTATTTATTGACTGATATAGTTGATTTCTCTCAACAGCATTTGTAAATATTCTCAAGCGGAGCAATAGATAGGATTTTTTTTTAAAATTTGAAGTGTACTTTAAATGGCGATTTATTTACAAATTATCTCCCCTTATTTACATCAGTTTTCGTTTATTTTATCGAATTATTGTTGTTTTCAGTCTTCGTTTTATGTTTTGATTTTTCATGTGATTTTTTTAAAGTGATTGTATTGTTTTGTTTCTAGACAAATTCTTGAAAATAATTAATGTCCTTCCTTACTTCTGTTGATAACGTCATTTTCAGGGTTCATTTTCTTTTTTTATATAAGGAACTTAAAAAGCTTCTTCTTGTTGCTTTTGATTTCTTGTAACAGATTTTAAAATCAACCATAAAAGTGCTGTAATGGTCAGCAAGCTCGTCTAGCTAAAAATCAATTACGACTGAGTAGTGAGTTAGATCTTCACCGGGTGCTCCATACATTTTAGTTTTTTGGGTTTGTGCCACATCGAAGCTACGCTTAGAAAATCATTTGGGCATTTCGACGTGATGTAATGATTAGCAAGCTTGTCTAGTACAACTGAGTAGTGAATTCGATCTCACTGGGTGCTCCATATTTTTAGCCTTGTGCCACATCCTAGCTTCGGTTAGTAAATTATTATTTGCGAACTGGTGTTTCGGCGTAATAATGGTCAACGAACATGACTCGCTCAGTTACAATGTAGTAGAACTCACCTGGTGCTCTGTACTTTCGACCTTGTGCCACATTTAAGCTACGCTTAGTAAATCATAATACTTTCCTGGCAAATGCTGGGGTAATTTGAAATTATTACCGCATGTCCCAGGCAGTACCTCTCTTTCGGCAAGAGACACGCAATATTGCTAAGCAGGCTGAAAAATCCAAAATCAACCATGAAAGCAAATGAAAAAACATATTTTTCGAGAGAAAAATGTAAGAAAATATTCTTTCTAAAGAAAACAAATATCTTTTTGTTTCTTTTAAAATGTCCACTTAACTTTTTAAGCGGCCTGTAAGTTACTGAACGAGGGAAACACAAGTTTCTCAATCAATCAGTAATTCATTCAGTTGTGTTATTTTTCTTTTACAATAATATCCACCTTGTACAAGTCCCAAGAAGCCACACACAGTAAAAGGTTACAAAGGAAGAGGCACATTATATGGGGATATGTGGTGAAGAAAATGGTTAACCCTAGACTTCAACAGGTTAAGAGTGTCTGTGATCAGGGAAGCATCCTCTTGGGAGTTGGTATCACAAAGTAGTGGTTTGTGGGAAGAAGCTGTTCAAGTAGAACTTACATCTCACCAATGAAATACGAAAGGAATGGGAGTGATTTGCTACAACGTGCATGGCATGGCATCAACTTTCTGTAAAGGTTGTACATATAAAGAAGACTAGAAGGATTAGCCAAAATCATTACAGCAAAAAGAATACATTCTTCAGGAGAACCAACTCTTGGATTGATGACAACTCATCTCAAATTTCTGTCTGAATTTCTGGAATGAAGAGTTATCATTATTTGCACTATTTACATGCAGACTATTTTCCTCATCTTTGTTGTTTGTTTTTTATCATTTTGCTCTTAAGTAAGGTGATGATGCCACAAGGACACAGAGGGTTACAGGAAGTGAAAGAAAATGAGAAAACCTTAGTGAGTAGAGGTCAGGAATAGGACAATAAAGGAACTGGATTCCAGAAGACAGAAAGTGGGAATTGACACTGCATTTAAATTTTTGAAGATTGTAAATGGTAGGGAAGTAAGAAATCAGAAAGGAGTTCCACAGGTGAGAAGTATGAGAAAAGAAACTATTAGAATAAACTATAATTTCTTGAAAATAATACATATTTTTTTACTGTAAATTACAGGTGATATTAGGTGTATGTATTATAAATAGGTTTAAACAAAAATATTTTTTTTTGTTATTGATTTATAAAAAAATACGTACTTCTTGTTCTAAAATAAGAAAGATATTATCCCAATTTTTATTTTAAATCCAACAATAATAATTTTTTGTCAATAAATTTATGTTTATCAGTAACCGCATTTTTTATTTGGCGAAAAAATTAAAAAAAATCAACAAAAAGGCCAATTTCAAAGAAAAGAGGATATTAAGTTAACAATTTATTGAAATTTTCATCATCATCATCATAACCACTTTCTATGATAGAATCAATATCTAAATCGTCATTAAACAAATTATTCAAAATATTATTTTCGTCCTATTCAAAATTATCTTCAGCCTCTTCATTCTCTTACCAAAGGATGTCATCTTCAGAACCATCCATGGCTGTCGTAAGACAACACTTCTTGAAACCTCTCTTTAAAACATCCTCACTGATGGAATCCCAAGATTCCTGAATCCATTTTACAATAAGTTCAGGGTCAACAAAATGTCTTCGTAATTATTTTCTTGCTTTTTTTTTTTTGTTTTTTGTTTTTTTGACAAAATTTATAGATGCTTATTATACATAGGGATAGATATGTTTCTTAATTTTTGGATCATTTGTTAGTGTGCATATTATATATGAGTGCATATTATTTTCAAGAAATCATGGTAATATACAGTTGCATTGAGCTCGTTCAGCAGTAAAATGGTGTGACCTAACTGCCAATCTAGTAGCATGCTTAAATTCATGTAATCAAGGTTATAAGGAGAATTATTGCCATGAAAATATTTGTAGAAAAGACAGAGGGAAGCTATGTCACTTCAGTGAGAAAGTCATTGAAAATGAGAGGTCACAATCGATTACATTACAAGCCCTTCTTTGGATTTTGTCAAGAATCTTGAGATAGAGATGAATGCCAGATCAGCTATGTCAACAGTATTCAATGCACGGTGTGACGAATGCAAGCCGACATATAACACCCATCCCCTTTCCACACCATGACCTAAATCGCACACGCATAGGCGAAAGCTAAAAATAAATCTAGCAGCACGCGAAAGCAGCAATGCAATTGGTCAAGAGCAGCCAATCAGCAAGCAGGAAATTAGGCGCCAAAAAGGAAGAGATGCACATGGTGACTCTAGAAACTTAGTAGCAGGCCGACGAGTGAAGTCACATCAACTGCAAACTCCAAATAATAAGCTGAGACCACACGTTCCCCGAGGCAGAGAAACAAATCAGATTGTTCCAGTGCCGAGAATGTAAAAGGGTCTAATGCAGTAGGCCTTCGCAACTCAAATATCGTCATCTCAAGGAGGAATCCTGAATTCAAACCCCGAGGCGGAAGACATGATCCAGATCGAAATCTAACCTCCAGTTATCAGAAAGAAATACATATGAAAAGGGACTGTTATCAAAATCGTCTGCTAAATCACAAAATATCAGATAAGTGCCTAAACCCCATTCCTGATATTATAATAGCTTGCAACAGTACAATAACATTATGTTCGTGCAAACACCCATTACATATGTTGAGTTCCGCATTCATTATCGCTCATTTTCTCCCAACTTTTATTGGACACAATATTTCATGCTATCCGTTTATATGTCATTGTCATTTGTCCCATTTCTGTGTTATTAAAAATATTATATTTATTAACATCGATTGTTTCATTTGTCTTTGGTCTACGGTCGGTTGAATGTGTCATTTAGGGGATCCAGGAAAATTAAATTCAATTAAATCCTAATTGAATTAATATTTACTTTTTTTTTACTTTATCTATTCCAGCAATGATACAATTATACAAGGGAAGCAACCCTAACGCCTAGACAAGAATCCTTTAAGAGAACGTTAATTGAGAAATAAAAAGGAATATCATTGTACGGGATATATTGAGCCTAACCTGGCATTATCTATCCATACTATAATAATGTTCCGGGGTAGATCTATGATAACGGACAGAT